TGTTATTTTATTCTGGCATCTTCTAAGACCTTTAACAGGTAATGGAATTTCTCCCTCATTATGCCTAAGAGTAATGAGCTCTTTCAAACATCAAACTGAAATTTCCTTTTAAAATTGTATTTTTAGTTTATGTGTTTGTATTTCTGCACACATGTGTGCATGCACATGAATATGGGCACCTATAAAGGCCAGAAGAAGGCATTGGATTCTCTTCCTCTGGGGTTACAGGTGGTTTGAGACACCCAATATGGGTGCTGGATCCTCTGCAAGAAAGACAAGCTCTCTTAACCACCGAGCTGTCACTCTAACTCCTGAAGTCTTTTAGCCATAGAAAATTCCTTTTAGTATTATTTGAATTATTTCTTCTCCATCTGTCCCCCCCCAACATGGGCTGCCTATTATTAGTACATTAGTTTCTTGGTTTTGAGCTGTCTCTCTCCCTCCTTGCCTCCCTTTCTTTCCTTTATTCTTATTTTTCTTCGTTCCTTTGTTTCTTCTTCTTTTTTTGAGGGGCCTTGTGTTTCTTAGGATGGCCTTGGTCTCAGTATATTGTCAAGGATGGTCTTGAATTCCTCTTACCCCTGCCTCTATCTCACACCCAAATGCTGAGATTGTAGGCATACACCACCGTGCATGGCTCCTACTTATTCTTTATGAATTCTATCATTTTTGGTTTTTAAAAATCTGTTTGCTCTCTGAAGCCAGTAATATATTTCAGCTCTTCTTTAGTTATCTCTAATCCACTAATTTTTAAAATTCAAATACCTTATTTTAATGTCATGAATTTTAAGAAGATTTATTTGTATTTTTTTTTTGTGTGTGTGTGTGTGTAGTTGAATGCAGGTGCCCTTGGAGGCCAGCGACATCAGATCACCCTGCAGCTGGTTTTGCAAGTGATTGTGAGCCACCAGATGTGATGCTAGGACCAGAATTTAGATCCTGTGCAAGAGCAGTACTTCTTATTTAAGTATTTTGTTATTGAAGATATATTTTCTTTGCACACTATATTCTGATCATAGTTTCCCTTTCTTCATCTCCGAGATCCTCCCACATCCTCAGCCATCCAACTCTATGCCTTCTTTCCCTCTCTCCTTAGAAAACAAATAGGCAAAAAGAAAAAGGACTAGAATAAGAAAAAAGAAAAAGCATGAGAAACACACACAGAACACACACACACACACACACACACACACACACACACACACACACACACCAAGAGAAAAAACAAACCACATAAAAGCACAAAATTGGAAACCATAATATACAAGGGAAAAGAGGAGTAAGGTAAAAGTTGTCCCCCAAAAGCACTATGAGACAAAAAAAAAAATCTATAAAACCATCATTGAGTTTGATTTGTGTTGGCCATCTACTGCTGGGCCTGGGGCCTCACCTTAAGTGTGGTTTCTATATCCTGTGAGACTCCATTGGAGAAAACTAGTTTTTCCTTTGCAAGAGGTTGCCAAACTGGGGATATCTTCTTGGTTAGAGATGGGAGCTCATCTCATTGCTAGAACGCTATCTGGCTTGGACCTGTGCCACAGTCTCTGGGAGTTCACGTGTGCATTAGTCCTGTTCTGTCTAGAAGGCCTTGTTTCTTTGGGTGTCCTCCATCCTCTCTGGCTCTTACAGTCTTTTTGCCTCCTCTTCTGCAAGGTTCCTGAGCCCTGAGGGAAGGAGTTTGATGACGACATCTCATTTAGCACAGGATGTTTCAAGGTCTCACTCTCTGTGCGTTGTCCAGTTGTGGGTCTCTGTATCAGGCAGGACTTGTTGCGAACTGCTGAGCCATCTCTCCAGCCCTTCCCGTGGATTTTGAAACCTTTTATGCTTTATATGTGTCTTACGATTTTCTTCTGAAACAAAGTCGCTCTTTGTTTTGGCTTTTGTTGCTTGAAAGCAGTTCCCACATTTTTCCTAGTAAGAGCCAACATTCTATAAACCCCAACCAGGGCTGCCCTCTTCATGTGAGGCAATCATCCTTTAGGCATGGGTTCCTTCTTTCCCTCAGGCTTAGTCCTTCCATGGCCTTGCCTCACGGCTCTCTGCTGCTGACTCCTTAACCTCTCAGAGACTGTACATCTCAGCAGAGTCAGAGTCTGTCAGTCCTCTCAGCTTTATTCCAACCAGCTGAAGGCTGGGGGAAGGAAGAATATCAGAGGTACAGAATCCTTCTCTCTTTCTGTAAGTTTTGATGAGTATAGCTTATATTTTTGTAACAGTTTACACTACCTGAGCCCATTAAGAAAATGTTCTCTCCCCACCCTATCAACACCTGAGGTAGGTGGGAGAGCTGGCCCTGAGGGCATAAGCTGCAGCCCACTCAGAAAAAGGGCAGCACAGGAGAGCTGACTCTGTTGGCAGAGGTGTGGGTGAGCCAGCCCCGAAGATGTGAGCACGGGAGAGCTGTCCCCATTACTCATCTGTCATGTGGCAGCCTAGGGGATGGAGAGATGGCCCCCACCCCTGCCCATCAACTCCTGAGGCAGGTGGGAGAGCTGACCCTGAGGTCCTAAGAGCAGAAAAGCTGTCCCTGCCCCTCATCAGCTGCAGCACTCGGGAGAGTGGACCCTATACCTCACCTGGGCAACACAGTAGAGCCGGCCCTGAAGGTGTAGGTGTGGAAGAACTGACCTTTAGGATGTGAAAGCAGCCGCCCCTTGCTCATTGCTGCAAGCGGTGAATTATCACCAGGGCAATGCTAGAGAGCTCCCCCTGGTGGCGAAGACCCACCCTGCAACTACTGAGGCCCAGAACCAAGATTATTTGTCGGCCCACCCCAACATCCACCCCATCTGTGATCTGCTGGAGCCCAAGGGTAGGGGTTGGTGGGGTCAGTCTTGTGAACTCAGGGCTTCAGGATCTCCACGACACAGGGCAGCAACGGGATGTCCAGGAAGAGTCCCAGTGAGGGCCTAGTGTTGATGGTGTAGCGGAGACCAGGGCCTTGAACCAGACGAATGATTTTTTTTTTTTTTTTGTGATGAACGACCGCATGTAAAAATGTATGGATAAAGGGATTTACTGCGTGACTCACTGTGTCACACTGCAGCTTCCATGATGAGATCCTCCCTTTCTCCCCCTCCCCCATTTTTTTTCCTTTTTTCTCTTAAATTTTATTTTGTTTTATTCTGGGGGGAGGGAAATGGGGGCGGGGGACTGGGAGGCATGATGTGAAAGACACAAAGAATAAATGAAAAGCAAGTTAAAAAAGAAAATGTTAAGTAATGCAATCTTAAAATTAGAAATAGCATGGAGATCATAATTAATGAATCTTTATTTGTGTTTATGGTTTGCATGGAATTGTTTGTACATATAATGTTGAGTTCCCAAATGTTTTTGCATGGTAATTAAAGAGGGGTTTCATTCCCATTTTTCAGACAAAGAAAAGGTTAAATAACTTTCTCAAAGATAACTGTGTTATAGGTGGAGCTAGCTGGACTGTGATATTAATCATCTTATTACAATACGCCACTGATTCCCTTCCTCACTTACCTTCAGAACACATTACACTGTAAAAATAATTTTGGGAATCCCTAAGTCATGTGTTATAACCTGAATTGTTTTAAATTACTTTTTATACTGAGATAGATGATTTTAAATGCCCATAAATGGTCGAATGTTGAAATAAAGTAGTAAGATTTTCTTACATAGTTTGAAATCTATCAAAAGAAGAATTTGAAAATAGTTTGAAACAGTAAAATAATTAGAATATGTGTATTCTTTCTTGAAGATAACATTTCTGGGAGAAAGTGTATATTTTGACATGACTTTCCTCTTTGTAATACATTTCAAAACATTCAACTGTATCTTGCTGTGAAGTAGGAATGCACTTGGATATTTCCTTATCAAGTATGACACTGAGAAAATGTAACCATGTCATATTAAACATGTTTTGTTTTAGAGTTTGTAGTGAAAGACTGAACAAGTTAATAGCTATTTTAAAACTAGTGCTTCCCCTGCTCTCAGTTTCTTTTCATACAAATACTGTTTTTATCTTAACAATACATACATACATAAATAAATAAATCATAAATAAATAAAAATAGTATCTCATACTCAGGAGTGATACTCAAAGTAGCTGATATCTGATATGGCCTGGTCATCAACCAATCAATCAGAATACATACTGAGTAGAGGTACCAAGTATGGTTATATCTGCCCACTGGTATACCGGTCCTGTCCCAGTCATATCTTAAAGAACTGTCCCCTTGCCTGAGTTCTTTTTTTTTAATTTTGTTTCATTTTTGTTTTTGTTTTTGCTTTGTGCTTTTTAAGGTAGTGTTTCTCTGTGTAAGAGCTCTGGCTGTCCTTGAACTCACTTTGTAGACCAGATTGGCCTCGAACACACAGAGATCCACCTGCCACTGCCTCCTGAGTGCTGGGATCAAAAGCATGCGCCACCACTGCCCAGCTTGCCTGAGTTCTTACATGTCCATTATCACAGGTGATTTGGCAAGGAATATATTGTCATCTCCATTTTGTAGATTGAGATAATTGCAACCCATAGAAGTTAAATATAGGGCCCTTTGAATGAAAGTGCTCCAACTGTTAATTTAGTGTTTTTCTTTGGGTGGAAGTTTCCCTCTTTTCAGAGAGAAGGATGGGATAAGACTATACACTTTTTTGGTAGTTACATTATGTGTTTTCTTTTTTATTGGATTTTTTCATACAATATATTCTTCTTACAATTTCTCTTCTCCCACAAAGGTATCTACTTTTGACAGGACAAATCCTAGCTCCTTCCACAGAAAACGCATGGTATGTGATGGGTAGAATAAGCAATCCCCATCCTCCCTGAAATCTTCCTGTCCCAAGCTCATTCTTTGGTTCCAGGTCCCTTGCTGGTATGTGCCCTGGAAGAAGCTCAAGCCAGTGAGCTGATTCTTCCCAGTAAAAGTAATGACTGAACTTCTTTTCTGTTTCTGCAGGAACAAACACATAGCCCTTCTTTTCAAAGAGCATTCTTTTAACTCCTTGTTTTCTTCCCTCTCCTTCCCCAGAATGGCCTGCCTTCAGAGAACAATCTGTATGTTTTTAATGGTGATTTTGTAGATCGAGGGAATAATTCCATGGAAGTCCTAATGATCCTGTTAGTTAGTTTTCTTGTCTACCCCACCGACGTGCACCTGAACAGGGGGAACCATGAAGACTTTATGATGAATCTCAGGTAAGATTGACTTTGGACTTCATCTTTTCATCTCACTCTGGAATTGATGCTGTGTTTAGTTTCCAGCAGATATGTGTACGCTTAGCTGTATAGAAGGAGAGATAAGATGAATCTCAAGGAAAATCTCTAAGTTCTTACCCTTGTTCACCAACCCCAGTCTTTCAGCTAAGTATCACCTGCTCTGAAGCTCTCCTCTTATCTCTTCTTCCAGTCCTGTGTTTCCTCTTCCTCTTCATTATATTCTTGTTTTTCCTGTCATACGTACCCTTCACAGTCCAAACTGCATGCTGGGTAGGCATGTTAGGTCAGGGTTGTGGGTCTGGTAGGTTGTATGAGCAGACTTAGATGGAAGTTTCTGTTGCTTCTCTTGGCTTGCTATAAATTCTGTCTCAGAAGCGAGCACAATGTTTTACATTGCTGTGTGTATTTTTTGTGTCCTGGTAATTGCTTCTGGCATAGTTGTTCATAAACATTTTTTGAGAACAGCTGTAACATAGCATTTGGACTATCTGACTCACTGGAGATTTGAGGGATAAAGACTGCTTAAATGGTTTATGAATTCTGTCTGAAAGGCACAGTAGGTAATAAATGTTCCCATCTTTCTTTTTCTTTTCTTTTTATGGAAAACAGAAATCGATTTGTTCTAGAACAATAAGGTTATGGGATGTCTCAGGCTTTGGGTCCTAGGCTTTTGGGTGCTGGGATCAAAGCTTTAGCAAATCACTTTTGTCTTCAAGTACAGAGTTTCAGTTCTAATTCCCAAGTGCAAAATCTATAAAGAACAAGAATCTAGAGGTGCTATTGGAAGCCTATTCTGGGTGCTATAAGATGGAAGGCTGAGCAAACAATGGGGAGCAAGTCAGCAAACAGAGATCTTCTGTGTCCAGGTTTCTGCCTTGAGTTTCCTTCACGATGGACTGTGATTGGGACATGTAAGCTGACATAAGCCCTTTCTTGTCCAAGTTGCCTTTGGTCATGGTGTTTTATCACAGCAATAGAGACCCTACTAGGCCTGGTAGGATTGGAGATGTAAAAGATGGTTGAGTGTTGTGAAGGAATATGAGCATGCAACTAAGGATAAGAGAATATCATTGAAGACTATTACACCTGTTTTTAAAAGAAGAGTGACTTGGAAGAGGGCCAAGAATGGATAGAGGGAGTTTGACTAGGAAGTAGTTGAAGAAATGGTAGCTTCCTATTTAGACTAGCATGATAGCAATGGAGATGGCAAAAATATAGACTTAAGAAGACTTTAGGCAATGAAAGTTTAACACCCAATAACTTGATATGGAGGCCTTGAAAGAGGATGAGCATGGTTGAGTTTAAGGGTATAACAGCATCATTCTGAATGGGAATGGATTCAGTCTGAGGTAGGTTTATTTGGTGTATTGTTGAGTATAGGTCCAGAGATAAAAGTGAAGTGTAACCCACAATATCACCCTATAGTATTGACACTAGATAGTAATTGAAACCCTGACTGGGTAGGGGTGAGAGTACTAAGGAAGAAATTGAAGGTAATGGATAGCCTAGGACAGAATATGAAAGAATTCTAACAATAGAGGTTATGTGGAAGAAGATAACTTGTGAGGTCGTTTTAGAATACCCTGAAAGTTTACTGTCACAAAATGGAAGAGAGGAAGTTTTCTAGAAGGATAGTACAGCCAATTATATTTAGTGTTTCAGAGTGGGCCAGAAAGGTAAGAATGCTGTTTTAGTTACTTCTCTGTTGCTATGACTAGAAACCACAACCAAGACCTTATAAAGGAAGGCATTTAATTGGGGGCTTGTTTACAGTGTCAGAGTGTGAGTCCATGACCATCAGGTAGGAAGCATGGTGGCAGACAGGCATGGTGCTGGAGCAGTAGCTGAAAGCTTACATCTTATTCACAAGCATCAGAGAGAGAGAGACAGAGACAGAGACAGACAGACATAGTGAGACAAAGACAGACAAAAACAGAGAGAGAGAGAGAGAGAGAGAGAGAGAGAGAGAGAGAGAGAGAGAGAGAGAGAGAGAGAGAAGAGAGAGAGAGAGAGAGAGAAAATGAGAATAGACCTGGTTTGGGCTTTTGAAGCCTCAAAGCCAACCCTCACCTTCCCCAACAAGGCCACACCTCCTAAATCCTTCCTAAACAATTCCACCAACTGGGAACCAAACATTCAAATATATGAGCCTATGGGGACCATTCTCATTCAAACCATCACAGATGGCAAGATGTATATTAGTCTAACACTGTGATGTCTTTGGTGAGTACAGGGAGGGAATTCACCTTGAAATATACAGTGTCATACTAGAGAAACCTGACATGATGTGGTTTGTATGAAAATAAGGGGTAAGTGTGCTTTGTTCCTACTTTGCCTGTTGGGGATTAAGAGTACACATTATTATCTGGGTGTGGTATTGCATATCTTTAATCCCAGCACTCAGGAGGCAGGGGTACATGAAAAAGGGTACACAATATTATAAAGTAATTGAAAAATCTCCCTTAGCTTTTCTTAGCCAGGCATTAAAATTCCTGATACTTTCTGTTAAACCCTTTAGTACCATTCATTCACATGATCCATATCAGGGGAGGCATGAAGACCCAACTTGCCTTGTGTGCTTTTCTTTGTCTTTTTCACTCTTCTTTTTTCCTGATCATTCATTTTGAATCATCCGATGTCTGAGCAATGCTATCTAGATGAGAAGTCTTCTACGTACAGCTTCCTCTAACTGTCATTGCATACCTCTCCAAATACTTGGAGCCTTTACATAGCCCATGGCATGCATTTGTTAAGTTGTCTTACAGTTGTTCCACAAAGATCTGTTCTCTTTCCCTGGTTATACTCTAGGTTTCTTGAGAATAAAAGTTGTACCATTGATTGCTTTGGTTCTTTCTCACGATGCTCCAGAGAGACTCTGCTAAGCATTTTAACTGAAGTCTCTAGTTTCTTGAGTTCCTACTCTTTGGTAATAGTGAGACATCAATGGCTCTCCTTTTTGCAATAATTAACAGTTTAAAATCTATTTTTCAGGTATGGCTTTACAAGAGAAGTCTTACATAAATACAAGGTAAGACTCATACTTGTTTTTCTGTGAGGAAAAAAAAAGAGCTAATGAAGACCAGATTGTTGCTTTAAGAAAGGTGATGGGCTAATTAGTTAGAAACTGTGCCAATAAAATAATAAGCACAGCAGGAATCTTAGATTTTCTTTTTCATTATGACTGTTGGATCAGTTTCAGCATAGCTGTGAATATATTGCATTGCTTTAAAGGTACCCATGCAGAATTTTTTATTCAGGTGTAGCACAACAGGCAGACAGAGAAATGAACAATATGAAGGAGGGGGTTTTATTCAGCTACCTACGTGCAGGAGACATAGCATGCCACATTAGGGATACCACATGGGGAATTATCAGAGGCAGACAGAGGCAGATGGAGCCAGAAGAAAACACAGACAAGGACATTTATTAGGTTTCAGGGAGAGAAAGGGCAAAGCCCCTCAGTGTTGAAAGCTGAGTAGTGTGAACAATGGCAGCCAGCTGTGGGGCATGAGGGTTATCACTAGTTGTCTACTATCTTGCTCTGGGTTGATGAGCACACCAGAGTAGTGGCCCTGAGTTAGAGTCTAAGAAAAGAATTCTTTAGTGTGGAATCTGAAATGGTTGGTTTGTACATGAAAACATTTAAGTCATTTAAGATCTCTAGGAATTAGCCCTGAGAGGGGCAGTTTCCTCCCTGAGCAAGGCCCCAAAATGCCAAAGTATCAAAAATACAGAATGAAAACTTCCCATGCTAAATACTTGCTGGTTGGTTGATAGCTCCCTGACGGCTTCCTTTGGTTGACATGGAAAACATGGCTTTTGTCTATATATTGAGACTATTTGCTTAACAGGACATATCAGGAAAATAAAACTTACTCGGGCTCTTACTTACAGCTACATGGAAGAAAAATCTTGCAAATATTGGAAGAAGTCTATACCTGGCTCCCAATTGGTACAATTATTGACGATGAAATCCTGATCATACATGGAGGGGTATCAGAGTCCACAGACTTGAAGACACTCCACTGCTTACAAAGAAATAAAGTAAGAAGTATTATATGCATGGATCTTGTCTCAGAGATTTATAATGGCATATGCTTCTTTTCATTTGTCATTTTAAATAGTTATGTGCTTTGGTGGTGTAGCTGAGAAAATTAGTAAAAGTCTTAAGAAAAGCTGTGATTGATTGCATGACAACTAGGTGGTTTTTCTATACACAGTACATTTTTAAAAAAGAAATCCTGTTGAAAATGGAAAATGGGGCTGCATTAGCACATCAGATAGTTTCTAAAAGTGACTTGTTTTAGAAGTAAAGTTTAAACGCATTCACTTACATTGTGGCAAAAGAAACACAATTTGGCGCTGTAGTCTTTTGTAAGTCTAACGTTACTGGTCACTGAGTGCATTCCCAGTGTGCTGTCACCGCTGTGGCCACCATCCATTCACAGAACTTCCTTGACTGAATCCATGCCTATAAAACAGTAACGCCCCCTTCCCTCTCCTTCTGGCTCTGATGACCAACATTTTCCATATGAACTCTAGGTAACTCATATAGATTTGTTTCATATAGAATTGCCATCCTGCCCCTTTATTTCAACTGAGCAGAGTAACTATCCTCAGAGTCTTTTAACTCTAAACAATCATTCAATACAACACAGCCAGAACAAGAGCCTGTGTAGACCCTCGCAGGGAACTGGCTCTATGGTGCCTGTAAGATTCCACACCTACTAAAGGGTTCCTGGGCTGTACCTTACACACAACTAGAGCCTTTACCAGATCTTCCTCCTTTACCAGAGCCAAGCTGAAGCCCCAAGCCTAGAAATTAACCAAGTGCCAGAGGGCAGGAAGATCAATAGTAGCTATAGAACAGAGGATGGTATATGGTCCAAATGGGAAACTTTAGCCAGTATCTTTAAAGACCCATAATAAAGATCCAGTCACTCTGGGAAAGGTGGGGCTGAAGCTGGTATTGATCTGATAGAGACAGAATGGGATCTCAGTTGCACCTTGAGGTTTGGGAGCCTTCCTACTTTAGTACACATGTGAGTGATAAAATTACCATCTTCTCATTGGTCTTTCACTTTAACCTTACTATAACCTCTAGGCTGGATAGGTCCCCTTTCTGCACTCTCTAGGCCTTTATACATGTCTTTCATAAGTTACCAAATTCAAGTAGGGAATGGTGATATTATTTTCTTACTATATTCTCATGCTTCTCCAACCCTGGCAAAACTCCAGTACCTGAGATGTAATAAGTATGTCTTATTTGTTGAATATTTCTTTAGACATTTAAGACCAAAGCAGGACAAAATAAAAGTGGATAGGAATTTTCTTAAAAGTCCTTTCCCTGGTCTATGGTGATACCCTGAGAGGGGCAGTCTCCACCATGAGCAAGGCCTCAAGATGTCAAAAATACAGAATAAAAACTTCTAGGTGATTTAGCCTGATGGCAGCCTCCATTCTAGTTCATTAAGGGCCTTTTGTAAGGTGAGCAGAGTAGGGGTCAATGCCAAGAAATCAGATTCTGTAAGACAAAGGCTCTGGTTTAGTAGTCTTCAAATTTCCAAGCAGGAGTATAGAGAAAGATGGTTAGTAGGACTCCTAAGAGAAAATGGTGGCATGGTGCCTTATGGGGGTCTAGGGAAAGTATCCCAATCCTAAATAGCTTTGAAAACTGCAGAGCTCCATGTTCTTAAGTGACCATGTGGCCTCGCCTAATGAGCTAATCAGAAAATTATGTGGACATAATGCTGGAAGGTCTACCCAGAATATTCTTTTCTGCCTAAGACCTAAGATCATTTGCTTGGGGAAGGCAAGGTAGGCAATAGACTAGTAATTAGTAGCTGAGATTGTTTCTAATCAACTTTATGAGGACGTTTTAGAATAAGCCTTAGTTTTAGTTTTGAAAAATAAAAATAGAATTTCATACCATGGTTTATTGGAGAAGCTAAGTATCTGCCATGGAGAGTTGTCCATCACTGAACCATGGCCACCAGTGTAACAGAAGTATTATTTAAAGTTGCTTTTTGTGGGCCAGTAAAATAGCTCCACGGGTAAACGTGCTTGTCCCCAAGCCTAACCACCTGAGCTCAAGCTCAATCCTTGGAATTTACATGGTAGAAAGAGAGAACCAACTCCTACAAGTTGTCCTCTGACCTCCATTATGTGCTGTGGAGTGTGGCATGCGCGCGCACACACACACACACACACACACACACACACACACACACACACACACACACACACACACACACACACACAAATAAATAAGTATAAAAACATTTTAATTTCTTTGAATGAAAGTATAATGCTTAGAAGAGACAAGAACAAAATTCCAATCTCAGATTATGTAAGACAATCAAGTGAGCTTATCATGTTGTATTTTTGAAAACTTTTTCTTTATCTTTTTTTTGTTTTAGTTTTTCATTTTAATAGGCCCACCTTACAGATGTTAGTAAATTAACAATGCATATGAGATGAGTGAGATGAAAAAGGAAACGGCATGGCTTTTCAGAGTTGATGCATGGTATAGACAGATTTCCAACCAAAACTGAAGTCCCTGCATACGGTATTTAACTAAAGTATGACTCTATGTTTTACAGATGAGATCTGTGTTGATGCCACCAATGTCTATAAATCGAGAACATGCCATTGACTTAAAGAGAAATAAAGCAGGTTCGATCACTGGTGTACCCAGGAAGGCTGAATTAGAGAAATCCTCTTTGGAACAGCTAACAAAGCAGGAATGGGAACAAGTAGGTAACCAAAACATTTACCAGAGTGGTAACATCAGCTCATCAGTAGTGATGATGTTGTCCTTTACAAAATACAGGTTAAAATGACTTTACCTTTGTAAGCACAATAGATCATCTTCTCTAAATCCATCTCAATGTTTTACATATAATCAAGTATATTTCTAGGCTGAAAAAAGAAATTTAGAGCCGGGCGGTGGTGGCGCACGCCTTTAATCCCAGCGCTCGGGAGGCAGAGCCAGTCGGATCTCTGTGAGTTCAAGGCCAGCCTGGGCTACCAAGTGAGTTCCAGGAAAGGCACCAAAACTACACAGAGAAACCCTGTCTCGAAAAACCAAAAAAAAAAAAAAAAGAAATCTAGAACTCATGGAATGAATTCTGAAAGAGAAACTCATTTCTTAAAACTGTTAGCCCTTGTGATTTTAAGTCAATGAAAAATGAATAATAGATACTTCTTTGTTTTGTTAATAAGACTCAAGTGAGTAAAGTGATTTACCCAAGGTAACATAAATAACTACTGAAGAAGAACCCCCTTGGCTGGTACTCTGTCTCAATGGAGTTCCAGCAATATGTATTTTTAAATGATTTAAATTTTTTAAAGATTATAATAACATCATTTCCCCCTTCCCTTTCCTCCCTCAAACTCCTCCCATGGACCCATTGCTTTCATTTAAAGTCATGACTTCTTTTCCTTTAATCCAGTGGTTCTCAACCTTCCTACTGCTGCAACCCTTTAATACAGCTCCTCACGTTGTGGTGACCCCAACCATAACATTATTTTTATTGCTACTTCATAACTATAATTTTGCCATTGTTATGAATTGTAATGTAAATATCTGTGTTTTCCAATGGTCTTAGGAGACCTCTGTGAAAGGGTTGTTCAGCCCTCCAATGGGATCATGACCCCCAGGTGGAGAACCACTGCTTTAATTGTTGTTGCATATATCTATATCTATCTATGACCTAAATATTGTATACATCCTGGTCAGTCCATATAATGTTACTTGTATTTTTTTATAGTACTAGAGATTGAACACAAGCTTCGTGTAGGCTAGGTAGGCACTCTAATACTCTAATATTACAATATATATGTTAGTCTTTAGTTTTTTGAGACAGGGACTTGCTGCATAGCCCAGGTTGGCCTGGAATTTGTAATCCTTCTGCCTCTGCCTCCCTATAAGGTATACCTCCATGCTCCCCTCATATGTATATTTAATTTATGTAAATTTTGAGTATTGGTAGTAGTGGTAAAAAGGAAGAAAAAAAGAAAAGAAGATGCTTTGAGAGTTTACTTTCATATACTTTATCATGGAATATTCATCGAGTATCATATACACAAAATATTTTTTATATATTCCTATATAGGGTTACGTGCATAACATAATGTATGCTGTACTTCAAGGATAAGTTAAGATGCTTTCCAGAGGAAATTTTACCTATGTTCATGTAGGAATTGAAAATTTAATCCTTTCCTAATAAAATATGATCCCTTATGTTTCACGTTTCCTCCTTTATTATACTACAGGTCAAGTCACACACACACACACACACACACACACACACACACACACACACACACACACACACACACACACACACACAATGTGAGTTCATTGTATAAGAGCCAGAGATGACTAGGTTTGAAATGCAAGTGGTGTTTTTGTCATAAACACCAGAACTTAAAGGTGTTACATTATATTTATGTGTAGGGTACAGTTGTGCCAATATTGGAATTCAGTGAGAAGGAAGGAGACGCTTGGAGTGATTCTGGGCTATTTTAATTCTCACATCAACTAGTCATCAGAAACTCCCTGTCTGGTCTGAGCCCGGTACAGAGTATCTCTAATGCTGACCAGGTACTGATCATCCCAAAATGGTTCTTCCACTTCTGCTCTTCTTTCTGCCACTCTGTCCCCTCTCTCATTTATCTCTAGGTCTCCCTTTATATCAAACCTAGAAATGGTTGCCCAGCCCAGTTGAATGGAGCAGTAGTATCTGGACCTCTTCTAAAGACCTAATTTGAACTTACTAGAATAACCAGAGATTTTCAATTGAAGAGACCTGACAAGATGGCTCAGTCAGAAAGTGCTTGGTGGGCAACCATGAGCTCCTAACTTATTGCCCCAGCACTGACATGAAAGTTGGTTGTGGTAGTCCACAACTGTAATCCCAGCACTGGGGAGGCAAAGATAGGTGGATCTCTGGAGCTTGTTGGCCAGTCAGTCTAACTAAATTGTTAAGCTATGGGTTCAGTGAGAGAGGGGAATAGTTGAGGAAGACCCTTGCTGTAGACCTGGCTTCTACACACATATAAATTTCAGTTGCATGCTTTTTCTCCAAAGAAACATGTAGATGTGGAGGGCCTGGGAGTGTGGCTCAGAAGTATTACATTGGCCTAGCCTACATTTGGCCCTGGATTCAATTCTCTGCACACATAGGAACAACAGAGAAAACTATGGAAAATAGTAGACTTTTAGAATCATTGTCTGTTAGACCCCTGATACATGATTGAGGGACTTTCAAAGTGAGACACAGATGGTTTGTTCAAGGTTGTCACTGTCTTTAGTGATAATGAGGCTTGTGTTTTGTTTTTTTTTAAACTACTCTTTCTTAAGTTCTTGATACAATAGTAGTTTAAAAAATTGAGTTCAGTATTCAATGTAGATCAGAGACTCCGCAGCCTCTGATTTTCTGTGAAAACGTTCTTGTGGTGATATTTTATCTATGCACCTCAATAAAGTTTATCTGAGGATCAGAGGAAAAAGCCAGCCACTATAGTAAACACAGAGGTCAGGCAATGGTAGCACATGCCTTTAATCCTATCACTCGGAAGGCAGAGATCCGTCTGAGTACAGACAGACAGGAAGTGACAGAGCTGGGCAGGAAGAGGAAGTGATGTAGCTGGGCCAAGAGAGGAAATGAGGTGGCAGAACAGAAAGGCATATAGGCATGGGTATACAGGAAGTAGGTCTCTTTGGCTAAGGATTTCCAAATGGTAAGAACGTGGCTGGCTTTCTTCTGTTTTTCTCAGGTTTTACTCAGGTTTTTTTAATTGATAAGACCATTTAGCAATTCATGTTACACATTCTTAGAAATTTGAGTCTTCAGTCCTGGGTATTGTGTGACCTACATTTGCTTCTTCTAGCCACCTGAGGAAATATTAAGCTGAAAAAAAAATCATTGTGGGCTTAGAATGCCTGGTGGAATCCAGTCAATGGGTGAATGTACTACTGAATTGGAGGACGTCGTTATGTGGGCAGAAGAGCAAAAGAAGCTTTGGGGGAGGTTCTTGGAAAAACACGAACCACCATGCCCAGCTAAATTCAGAAGAGAAAGTAGTACTTTCTAATGAACATGTATTAGATCTCCTTATTATGTTCAACTGGGCAAAAAATCTGGGCCAATGGGTGGGAGATCTATCTAATCTCTTTGAGTATATTAAGAACACCTACTATGTGTTCACTGGAAGGTACTACTTTCTCTTCTGAATTTAGCCCAGGCATGGTGGTTCATGTCTGTAACACCAGATACCTTTAATACTTCTGCCAAATAAGTTGGAATAGAAAAAAGATGATAGACTGTTACTTGTAAGTAGAGGCCTAATTTATTTTATTGTTTCAAGATTATTGATCTTCTGTGGAGTGACCCTAAAGGAAGAAAAGGCTGTTATCCAAACACAAGCCGAGGAGGGGGCTGCTATTTTGGACCAGACGTTACCTCCAAGATTCTAAGCAGAAACCAGTTGAAGATGCTCATTAGGTCTCATGAGTGTAAACCCGATGGGTATGAAATCTGTCATGATGGAAAGGTGAGCTAGCATCGTGGCTGAAATTCTCACAGATGTCCTTGCCACAAGCCTGGTCTTCTCCACACAGTATTGTCCTACCTAAAAGGCCATGCAACATCTTCACTACTTCCAAACAGAAAACAAAGATGGAAGGGGCTCAGCTCTCTCTTATCCTTAGAAATATTTGGCTTATTTCTCGATCTTTACTATTCCCAGAAGCAGAAATTCTGAAGTGTGATTGCATTAATTACTCTTCTCGTTGTTATAACCAAGTAACAACAAGCAACCTAAGGAAGGAAGGCTATATTTTGACTCACAGTTTGAGAGTATAGTCACATGATGGAGAAGGACTTGGTGGCAGGCCACTTCTCAGATCTCAGATGACCAGGAAGTAGAGAGATGCTGATGCTCAGCTGACATTCTCCTCACCCCACCTTTTTTTGAGACAGGGTTTCTCTATGAAGCCCTGGTTGTTCTGGAACTTACTCTGTAGATCAGGCCGACCTTGAACTCAGAGATCTGTCTGTCTGTGCCTCCTGCATACTGGGATTAAAGGCGTTCACCTTCCTTTCCCCCCCTTTCCCCTTTTTGTTCTGTCCAGGACCCCACACTAAGTGATGGTGCCATCCACATCCAGGGAAAATCTTCCTTCCTTAATTAATATTCTATGGAAATGCCTTCACAGACATACCCAGAATTATGAATTATTCTCTTTTCAGTAATCTGATCAAGTTGACAAATAAAATTAACCTTCACAAGTATACCTCTTTCCAACTTGATACCCAAATACATCACTTTAAACCATAACAGTAACACTAAGTATGCACTCTCTCCCTCCCCCTCCCTTTCTCTTTCTGTTATACACACACACACACACACACACACACACACACACACACACACACACACACACTTCATTTTTCATTTTTCACTAATTGCAAGCCAATTCGAACAATATGCAGTGGCAATTTCCACAGACAGCACTTTTCCTTACAAAGCAGTTCCAATGTAGTTTTCTCTCTTCTTCCAAGGGAGGCCTTACCCACTCTGAGGAGCAGATGTGGGGGAGGTGGGGAGGAGTGGGAGAAGGGGAGAGAGGGGAAACTGTGGTTGGTATGTAAAATGAAAACACGCAGCAAGAAATTGAAATTTCTTTCAAGTCACTGAGAGGTGATCACTAGCAAGTTTCTTACTGTGGTCAGTTTAACTACTGCCATGAAAATGGAGTATCTTGTTCTTTAGTTATGTCAATAATGCAAGAAGAGGTGAGGACTAAGAAACTGGTTCTTGTCTTCAGTTGCCCTGGGATGGTTCTTCATAACAAGTATTATCTTTCTATAATCGACCTACCATACCTTCAAGGCTGATTTTTTCCAAAGGTGGTGGTCATAGTCCCATTATGTCTCTGCTCTTAAAACATTGGTTTTGTGCAGCTCTGAGCCCTCTAAAGCACTCATCTTTGTGCAAAAGAACAGGAATGAGCTTCTAAGCAAACTTTTTTTTGAACCCTCAGACATCACAAGGTAAGAAAATATGGGATTTATCTCCGTTGAAAATTAGAATTTATAAAACTAAACATTAAAGAGAATTCTAAGGTCTGGCACTACAATAGTGTGTAGGAACTCAGGTCCATACCCTGGGGATATTGGATGAAAAGCTAGGAGTTAGTACTAGAGACACTGATTGAAGACTTTCCTTTCCTCCAAGGGAATCATATGAAATCATGTCAGACCCAGATAATTTGCAGATATTATGAGGTTTGTTTGTGTTTTGGTTTTTTTTTTTTTTGAGACTTGAGCTATTTCTGGCTTTTATTGAATGACCTTTTGAGAATTAACTTAATGAACTTGATTCTCTTTTTCTTTAATCAGGTTATTACTGTATTTTCTGCTTCTAATTATTATGAAGAAGGCAGCAACCGAGGAGCTTACATCAGAGTAGGTTATGGTACACCTCCACAATTTTTCCAGTACCAAGTAACTAGTACATCATGCCTCAGCCCTCTTCACCAAAGGTATATAGCTCTGAAAATACTAAGGACTGTATTTGTGACCAAGTAGAATGAGTCTTGAGTGACTAAGAGCCAGTGAAGTTTCTAGCCATCGTTATTGAGTTATCTGTTTCTTTTAGTTTGTGCTTCATGTAGCTTTCGGTTCTGCCGTTAGGTTCGCTATCTTCTGTCATTAAGAAGTGGCCCCCTTTATTCTAGTTTTCAGTTATGGCTTCTAGTTACAGTTTTCATCTAATGTCTGTTTTGTCTCCTATTAGCATGACACTCTTCATTTTGAAGCCGCATTTGAGTCTCATAATCTCTGTCTTTTGGTTGATTGCTTAATTTACTTACATATGCTCTTATTATTCATATTTTAATCTGCCATTTTATGTTTTTAATTCATAGCCCACACTGTATTAGTGGGCTCCACACTGAAAATATATTTTTAAAATGTCTTTTCTGTAAATGTACAGACATTTTTCTTATTGTATCCCCCAAATAATGCAATACACCAAATATTTATATTAAATTAAGTATTATAAATAATCTATAAATTAAAGTATATAGGAAGTTGTACATCAATTATATGCAAATACAATGTCGGTTTATTTGAGGAAATTGAGAAGCCTTAGATTTTTTTATGTGACCGACACATAGCAACAAGAACCTGTATTATTTTTTCCAGATACAGAAGTTGGCATGTTTTGCAAATATTGCTTGAGAGCAACACTCCTATGTACAGAGCCTCCTGTCCAATAGCATGTAAACACAGATACGTATCCACAGTGCAATGTTGACTCAGCCAGGAGCCACCTTGCATACATACTTAAACAAATGACTGCTCAAACGAGAACTGTTGTGTCAAGGCGACTTTCCATAGGTGGACAGTTTTCTCAACAGACAGAACTTAGCACACGTCTTTCTAAATTGTATCTGCATTGTTTGCTCCACCTCAGGGGTTAATTCACTGTGACCCAGGAACTGGGAGAGGAGCCCCTCAACATGGCTTTAAGTTAGGGAAGAACTGAGGTTATCAGAACATGGGGAGTCTGCTTTGCTTCCCTGAGAACAAAAGTCACAATGAAACCAGATCACTTCCTTCACAAAACCTAAATGATAAACCCAGCAATGACCGACCACCTGGCAAAATTAGGATCATTCAGTTTCTGAAAAACTACCTTTTGTTTGTTTGTTTGTGTGTTGTTTTTTGTTTTTTTGAGACAGGATTTCTCTGTGTAGCCCTGACTGTCCTGGAGAGAAGCCTCAGATTTTTAAAATCCATTTTGTATCCTAGAATTTATACTCCAGGAACACTGAAGATGTCTGTGTCTCAGGACTATTCTTTTCTTCTGTTCCTCCTTGAAACTCATTTTATGAATGACCTGAGGTAGAAATTCATGTTGAGGTAGTTAACTAAGTATTCTAGCATCGATCAAAAGATTGTCTTTTCTACTAAATTATACTATCTCTGTTGGCTGTATGTGTTCTCATAATACTTGGATCTATTTTTTGAAGTTCCTGTTATATTCTACTCATGTGCATGTCTTCTTTTATCACAGCCAGAACCCATTTTGTCTCACTAATGTGTAGGCAGTTTTTCATCGAGACTGCCAGCTCCCCAATAAGTGCACAGAGCCTTAATATTAATTATAAATGCTTGTCTGATAGCTCAGGCTTGTTACTAGCTAGCTCTTACATTTAAATTAATGCATATTTCTTACCTACCCTCTGCCATGTGGCAGTACCTTTTTCAGCACAGCATATTTACCTTACTTCCCTCTGTGTCTCCTGGCAACTCAGCCCTCCCTCTTCCCCCTGCTCTCTTTTTGTCCACAAGTCCTGCTTAACTTCCACCTGCCCAGCTATTGGCCATTCAGCCCTTTATTAGACTAATGAGAGCAACAAATACTCTCAGTGTACAAAAAGATTGCTCCACAGCACTAATATAATGGTAAATTTAAATATCTCATATAACAAGTTCCTTTTTTCAAATAATTATTTATATGAATCTTTCTTTTTTTTTTTTTTTTTTTTTTTTTTTTTTTTTGGTTTTTCGAGACAGGGTTTCTCTGTGTAGCTTTGCGCCTTTCCTGGAACTCACTTGGTAGCCCAGGCTGGCCTCGAACTCACAGAGATCCGCCTGGCTCTGCCTCCCGAGTGCTGGGATTAAAGGCGTGCGCCACCACCGCCCGGCTTATATGAATCTTTCAAATTCCAGAAAACTCTGTAAGATCTGTAATCTTAAAAAAAAATCCAGGAAAATACTATTTGTGGCTGTGGTAATTGCTGACCCTGTGAGAATGTGAAACTGGATCATAAACACAATGCAAAATAAAAATTAACAAAATGGCTGAGCATGCCTGTACATAAATGTAATCCCACCACCCGGGAGTCAGAGGCAGGAGGATTTTGGATTGTAGGTTAGTTTAAGCTCTGTTTTAAAAGAGAATTTTCAAATCATCAAGATGGCTAAGCAGGTAAAAGCACTTACTGTGCAAGCCTAGTGCCTTGTGTTTGAGCCCTGGAACATCCATAAAGGGACAAGAGGAGAACCAGCTCCATAAAGTTGTCCTCTGATCTGCACATATATACTGCACACAACCCCATCACCACATCCAATTGTCAAATACAAAATATAAAATGTCTCAGAAGTGAAAAAGGAACAATATACAAATAATAACAATAATAATAGTAATGTTTCAAATGTCTAACAGATCTCGAAAATGCACACACAATATGTTACATTTACTATCTAGCAGCATAGTATATGTAAACATAGACAATTTATTTAAAGGGAAACTGGTATGTGATAACATAGCACATTAAAATTAAGTAGAACAGATGATTTATGTAAGTTTCACTGAAATACTGTTCTCTTAACACAGGGTAAATGCTATGGAATTCAATGCCTTCAAGATATTAAAAGAAAGAATGCTTTCACGAAAAACTGATCTCATCAATGCTTTCCAGCTCCGTGACTATAGTAGATCAGGTAAAATTATTTATCATTTCTCAACATATTTGCCTATATGCAGAGTAGGCTTTCTTCAATGAGACTTTAGTTCTTCTTTGTTGCTAGAAAGGAATGATAGAAAATAAAGAATCCATTAATCACTAAAAAATATCACTACGTATCTCCTTTACAGTAAGCTTCTTTGAACTGCAGAGACTAACAGCCCTGAATTAGACTTCTCTTTTGGTTGCCTGTGAAGAAACAGATTCTGGAGGATGCAGAATTGTAATGTGTTTGTCAGCTTCCGGTGTCTTAGGCTCATGACTGCCATTCTTCTGAATGATTAGTCGAGCCGGCTATAGAGGCACATGGCTGTGATTCCCACACTGAGGCTGAAGCAGGAGAATTATGAGTATGAGGCCAGCTTGGGCTACACAGAGAGATCTTGTCTTTGAAAAACAACAGTCATAACAAAAAGATGATTTGAATGGCAAGCATGACGCGATGAGTAAGCACCAAAGGCTAGACTGTGCTGGCATGAAGGCTGATGTTGCTCTAGCAACCATCCTGACACCAAATTCCAGGATGGTAGGAAGAGAGAAAAGGTGAATTTTGAATTTCTGTACCTTCAAAGTGGCTAAATAATGTTCCCAACTGCATCTTCGAGGAAAATATCCTTAATTGTAGCCACTAGTATATTCAGAGGTTAACATCAATTAGTGTGAGCGTGCAATTAAGGACTGACTATTAAACAGATGAGGTGAGCTATGATGACTAAGAGTCAACAACACAAACCCAGCAAATAACAGAGCTAGTTCCCCAAGGGAATCAGCTGTTGGAGTTGTCATATACAAAATATAAAATGTCTAAGAAAGGAACAAAGGAGAACCACGGATATGTGTTTGAAAGATTTGAAATATGATATGGTTTGAAGAAGCAGCAAATACTTATAACACTGTGTTTATTAAAATAAAGGAAAACGGAGCTGGTGCTGCATACCTGTAATGCCAGCACTTGGGAGGCCGTGGCAGGAAGTCAGGAATTTGAGCCAGCTGAACTATGCGAGACCTTGTCTCAAAACCAAAACAAAACCCTGGAGAGTGAGAAAGAGAGTGTTCATTATGAATGTGTAAAAGAGAAGATTAGCCTCAAGAATTAGACTGAGAGATCTGAACTTCAAAGCTAGCCTAAACTGCACAGTAACCCCAAGGCTAGCCTGAGCTATGTAGTTACACCCTCTCTCAAAAAATTGTTATGGACAACAAAATGTGAAGGTTTAACAAATATTTAGTCAGGATCAAAGTCTAACATATATCAGGGTACCAGAAAGGAAGACTATGGAGACTGAAGGGAAGGCAAGCTATAGTCACCATGATAATGCCTGCAGCTCTTCCAGGATGGATGACAGACTCCTAGAGAGAAAGAGGAACAATGATTCTCAAACACGATAAATACAATTAGATCTGCACTTGCATTCACTTGTAATGAAGCTGCAAAGCACCAATAGGGGAGAGGACATTCAAATCCAGGCAGAGAGGAAACACATTGCTACAAAGACACAGCAGTTAGACTGATAGGCTAATCAGCAACTGAGAAAAAAAAAGCCAGTAGATAGTGGATCATATATACAAAGATTGGAAGTTATATTTAGAAAAATAGCATGAAAACATTAACAGAAACACAGCTGGAACTACTCTTAATAGCAAACAAAGTAGACTCTGAGGAAATATATGTTAGTAGACATGAAAAGGGACACTTCAAGATAGCATACACTTAATTTGCCAGTCAAATTTGTTCTACGTGTTTATGTTCCTACTGATATAGCCTCAAAATATGTAAAACAAAACTGAGAGAGCAATGAGCAGAAGTAGAAAAATCTGCCATCATAGTGGGAGATTTTAATACTCCTCCCTCAGTAACTAAAGGAGACAGACCAAAGATAATACCCTGACATAGTGAGCAGTGGTACAGCTCAATATAATCTAACCATAAAAATCCCTTTTGGTGGCACATGCCTATAATCCCAACACTCAAGGCAGAGGCAAGGGAATCACGAGTTCAGTGCTAGCTTGTGATATATAACAAAATACACACCTATGTGCGTGCATGCACGCACACGTACATACTTTTGGAAATGAGAAATGTACTTTTGAATAATCCTTGAATCGAAGAAGAAATCACAGTAGAACTTAAAATACTCAAACTGAATGATATTGGAAATTCACCATGTAAAGTTTACAGAATACAAATTAGAGAAACATTGGTCACTTTGAATGCATGTATTTTAAAAAATGAAACTGTTATCAACTAATAAGAAAAGAGTTCTTTGAAGAAACTGGAAAACTTGATAAAATGAAGAAAGAGAAGAGCAAGCAAGCACACAGAGAGCACACGTTCAAGTACAATTAAGCAATAGTAAGATAGAAAGAGGTGTTATTATAGAATTTATAATCATTAAGATCATAAGATACATTATGAAAATTTGTCTAGCAATGAATTAGAACTTTACATCAAATGGACATATTCCTAAAATATATACATCTATACACACATTCTAAACTGAGACAGAAATAAATCAAAAGTCTTAATGATTCTGTAGCTGTTAAAGAAACTGAATCATAAAATTTGGAAGTGTCTATAAAAAAATCCCTGATTTCAGACAGCTTCATTCAGCATGACAGCAAGCACTGAAGAAAACTCTTACACCACCTTTTATAGAGACTAAGGACAGAATATTTTAGGCGGTCAGTCTAACCTTTGTGCTTAAACCTAACAAGAATATGGAGAAGGACAATTAAGGGTTGTAATGGAAATTTCCCAAGTTCCAGCCCTGAGAAAAATTCCTCCCAGAGTCTTGGGGAAGACCTACATCAGGTGTGGGGTATCTGAGGGAAAGGAATCTATATACACTACGCTCTTTTGTCCATTTACTTTATTCCTTTATGACAAAACTCTATCTATACAGCTTCAGTTCCATCCTGAGTCTCAGTTCCTCTTTGTACCTACTTTTTCTGTCCCCTCAAAGCCCTGGTAATAACTAAGCCCTCATCTTCCTCGTCTGTTCCTTCTTCCTCCATCTATCCTTCCTGGCTCCTTACCCCTGGCCCTGATAAACTCTACAAGAGATCTGCCTTACTCTCTACAGAATCTCTGTCTTCCTCTCTTTTCTCTGGCCATGCAGTTCTGTGTCTGCCTCTGGAATTCCACTCCAGTCCTTACTGCACCTGGTTATGCAAAAACCTCCTTTGTTCTCAATCAATTGCTCTGGAAAGCCACTAGGTCTGAAGGCAAGGGATGCACAAGAAGCAAAGCTATGTATCTACAGCCTGCTGGTCTCCTAGGCTCAGTGGTGGAGTTAGTTACCTAGAGTCAGAAGGTCTGAGAAGCAGAACTGTTTGCCAAATGATCTAGTGGTATACAGGCCCACAAGAAATTCATAGCAAGGCACAGCTGAATATTAAAGCTGTATAACATCAAATATTCCATGATAAGTGGCTTCCCATTTGACGGACCCTTGGTCCATCAAAGTATAGCTTTAATACAAAGCTGAATCTCTATAATATATTCTTGTGGCCTGCAAGAGGGCTGATCTTATTGATAAATGTATATGAAAAAAACATAAATGAAATAGTCAAATATTAGAATATCACAACCAAATTTGGCTTTTGCTATGAATACTGGGAATTCCAAGTTGTTTTGTCATTCAAAACCCAGTCAGTGTAATTTGATATTTTAATAAAGATATCCTATAATTCACTTAAAAATAATTATTTGATATATTTTACTCTGTTTTATGGTTTAGTTTTATTTGGAAATTTTTGAGACAAGTCTCTACAACAATCTGGCCTCAAAACCCATATGTAGCTGAGGATGAATACCTGAACTTTTGATCCTCCTGCCTCCACCTCCTATGTGCTGAGATTATAGATTTAGGCCACCATGCCAAATATATGTGGTACTGGCGATCAAACCCAGGGCTCTGTGCATGCTAGACAAGCAGTCTACCAACTGAGCTCCATCCTGAGACCTGGTTTCATGGTTTGTAAAAGCATTTAGACAAGTAAGAATCAATGTTGAATGTGGTGGTTCATGCCTGTAATTCTAGCACTGGGGAGGTGGAGGCAGGAAGATAAAGAATTCAGTGTCAGCTTCAGCTACATATTGTATTCAAGGTGTGGGCACTGTTCACATATGGTGCCCAGACATACATGCAGGCAAAACATTCAGTCACATAAAATAAGTCTAATAGTGAAAGACAAACTATATATACGTATTTATGCATAAAAATTGATATACTTGGGACTGGAGAGATGGCTCAGAGGTTAAGAGCACTGACTGCTCTTCCAGAGGTCCTGAGTTCAATTCCCAGCAACCACATGGTGGCTCGCAGCCATCTATAATGAGGTCTGGTGCCCTCTTCTGGCCTGCAGGCCTACATGCAGGCGGAACACTGTATATGTAATAAATAAAGAAATTTAAAAAAAAAAGGAAAAAAAATGATATACTTAGTAGGAAGACTAGAAATAATAAAAGTGATTATTTAAAATCATTTAAGTGCTGGGCATGGTGACTCACACCTGTCGGAAAGGATGAAGGAAGATTGTAAGTTTGAGGCCAGCCTGGGCTATATAGTGAGTTCAAAACTAGCCTGAGTTATATATTGAGACTCTGTCTCAAAAGCCAAGGTTTGGCAATATAGTTTGGTGGTAGAGTGCTTGCCTATTATATATACTAGGTTTGATCCCCAACAAAAAGTTGCTTCAAATGAAAATATATCTTCAATAATCAGAAAAATAAAAATATCTGTGGTTTGACAAATTACAATATAATATTAAACCAAAAAACATTAGTTGGGAAAAATACATGAATGATATGCTAAAATATTAAAAATGAAAGTAAGTCTTTTTTCTGTATTTTCAAATCCTCTGTAATACCTTACTTTGTGTATTAGATAAAGGGAAAAAGGTCTTTTCTTTTTTCTACTTATTATTTGTTTATTTGGTTTTTTGAAACAGAGTTTCTCTGTGTAGCCTTGGCTGTCCTGGAACTTGCTCTATAGACCAGGCTGGCCTTGAACTTACAGAGGTCCACCTGCCTCTGCCTCCCAAGTGCCCAGCTACAAATGGAATTTCTTTCATGTGACAGTAAGATTTACCGAACAAAAACTTTCTTTACTTATTGTTCCCTCAAGGCTCTAGAGCCTGGTCAGATAGATCATGAAGGAGAGCAGGGGGCCCTCAGGCCTCAAAACCGCAGGCTGCCACTAGCTCTGCAAGAGAGCATGCACCTTTATTTTGTCAAATTATACACCAATCATATGGGTTTTTGTTGTTGCTGTTAGGGAAGATTTCATTGGCCCAGTGGGCTTTTTCTATGGAGAGCATTTTGGGGCTGAACTTACCATGGAGATCTCTGAGGTCACACCTGGTAAACATCGACAGTGATGGAAATGTTGACTACATGTCCAGCTTCCAGGATGTCCACATTGAAAAGCCTGTGAAAGAGGTGAGTGACATATTAGTTCCAGCTAAAAATCGGGTTCCCTCAAAATACCCTTTGGATAACCTCTAAGCAACATAATGCTTTCAAAAGTTGAGGGTGGAATTATCTAATGAATGGGAATGACAGTTTCAAGAAAGGCCAAAAGGGAATCTCCCAGGAACATGGTGAGGAGGTTGGGAAATGTGTGCATGCTCTATAGAACAGACAAAATAAAAAAGCAAAACCTTTGTAAGCAAATCTACATCAAATCTGACATTCTTAGTTTCAAGTACTGTCCAGCAAATGGGCAGATATAACAATGTAACAACAGTCTCTCATAAAAAATACGCTCACATACTCAACATACATGTACAGACTTGCTGACATGTCCTAGAATATCCCCTAAAGTATTAAAAGATATAAAATATCTTATTAAAATGACAATACCACATGAACACTGATCAGATTCCATCTAACTAGTGAGCAATTCATCAGCGATTAGTTATAACACAGTGAATGGGAAGGAAGACTTGGGTGATCATTTGCAGGGAAGACGGGAAGAACAGAGAGAATCATGTAGGCCAGGTGGGAAACTATCCATAGGAAGAAGGCTTTGGATGGTAGAGACAGTTTACCACAATGAGTCAGATCATAGGCTTCAGCACAGAGGGGCTACAATCCAAATAGCACTCAGTAGCTACCTTACCTCTGGGAAAGTTGCTTTACTTCTTTGTTTTCTGTCCCTATTCTTTAAGACCATAGAAGATGAGGAATTCTATGAGCAAGGGGCATCAAGATCATGGGAAAACCTACAGAGACAACCAAACCAAACTAGTAGGAACTCATGAAATTTAGATCAATAGCTGTGGAGCCTGCATGGGACTGGACTAGGCCCTCTGCATAGCGAGACAGTTGTGTAGCTTGATCTACTTAAGAGGCCCCCTGGCAGTAGGATCAGGATCCATCCCTGGTGCATGAGCTGGCTTTTTGGAGCCCACTAGCTATGGTGAGAGACACCTTGCACAGCCTTGAGGCAGGGGCAGGGGCTTGGACCTGCCTCTACTGAATGTATCAGGCTCTGCTGACTCCCCATGGGATGCCTTACCTTCTTGTAGGAGGGAATGGGGGATGAATTGTGTGGGGGGGGCGGGGAAGGCTGGAGGAGTGGGAGAAGGGAAGAGGGGGATCTGTGATTGGTATGTAAAATGAATAAAAAATGTTCTTAATAGAAAAAGACCATAGAAGATGAAATTGAACAATCCCTGAAGACCTTTCTGTAGATTTGCAAGTGCTGTTGTGTTGACTCTTTGTCCCAGTAGAGCACATGAGAAAATCTTTAATCTAACTCAAAGTGGTTAGGCCAAGTGATGGCTTGCCTTCTCGTATATGAGTCCATGATCTTAAGACCTAGTTCAGTGGTAAAGCACTTGCCCAGCATGCTTATGGGGCCCTGGGTTTATCCCTTAGCACCATAAAAAGATAAAAAGAAAGGAAAAAGAATTTGTGAGATTATTTTGTATTCGTTACATTTGTTGAAATTATTCTGTATTATTAATCCTTAGTACTTTAACACCTAAAAAAATCTTTATTCTAGATGAAATCTAGTCTAATTGAAACTGTGTACAGATACCGATCTGACCTGAAAATCATATTTAATGTTATCGACACTGATCACTCAGGTAAGTGAACGCTGATTGGTTCAGGAGTAATACAAAGCAAAAGCTAGTTTTTTTCCTTGAACTCAGGACTCAGTTTTCACCAATTTCATTCTTCATCCAAACTTGGGGAGACATGAAGAGAAAAGATAAACTAGTGTTTAAGATCATTAGTAATTTAGCTTGGCCACAAATTCTGTACTGGAGACCATAGCGTTCTACAGAAGCCTTTGAAGTCACTGGTCTCACTGGAATAGCTCCTTTCTATAAACCACCAGCAGAGATGAGAAAGACAACTCACTCTCCCTTGATCTTAGCCACAAGGCTGAGAACCAATTAAGGATAATTCACTTTCTGCTTTAGTATCTTAGCTAATATGAAAAAGAGTTCTAATTTTGTTCAAGGGATTGGAAAATCAGTTTTGATTTAGCTTTGATATATAATTACTGATTTTCTAACTTAAAGATGCAGGACTGGGCCGGGCGGTGGTGGCGCACGCCTTTAATCCCAGCACTCGGGAGGCAGAGCCAGGCGGATCTCTGTGAGTTCGAGGCCAGCCTGGGCTACCAAGTGAGTTCCAGGAAAGGCGCAAAGCTACACAGAGAAACCCTGTCTCGAAAAACCAAAAAAAAAAAAAAGATGCAGGACTGGGAAGATAGCTCAGTCGTAGAGAGATTGCCTGTTGTGTATGAGGCTCTGGGTATCATCCTCAGCACCCTGCCACCACCCCAACCTCTGTGCAGAGACATTTGAGTATGAAAAAGTATCAATAGTTATCCATGAAAGTAGATTATTGCATATAAAAACAATAACAGTGGGTTTATGAGATGACTCATCGGACAAAGGTGCTTGCTGCTGACCATGATGATCTGAATTCAATCCCCAAGACTCATCTCTCAAGTTGTCCTCTGACTTCAGCATGTGCAATATGGCTTGGGCTGTGCACACACATACACACACACACACACACACACACACACACACACACACACACACACACACACCACCACCACCACCACCACCACCACTACCACCACCACCACCACCACCATCTTATTGACTCTCAGGATACTTTCTCCTGTTTTAATGTTGCTCTCTATTCTGACATTCTTCTGTGTCCTGCACCCTGGGATTTTAGTTCTTATAATTTCTACACCACTTTTGTCCACATCTGCTCACTATTTCTTCACCTGTTACTCTTTTTGGCATTAGAATATTCCCAGGATCCTTGGTAGTTGCAAGTGGCATACTGTTTCTTGTATGTATGATCTTATTCTTCTGTTTCCTTCAGTGTTTTGAGTCTCAGGCATATTAGTGAACTTGCAATTAGGACTGTTCAGTCAGTGTGGCTTTCCCCCTACTCTTTCAGGGGGGTCTTAACATTGGCACTTAACCTTCTCCTGTTTCCTTTTAGGTATGATCTCTATGGATGAATTCCGGACCATGTGGAAACTTTTCAATACTCACTACAATGTTCATATTGATGATTCCCAAATTGATGAGCTTGCCAACACAATGGACTTCAACAAAGATGGAAGCATAGACTTCAATGAGTTTTTAAAGGCTTTCTATGTAGTACATAAATATGAGAAGCCAGACAGCCATCCTGCTTAAGATGAACAAAAACTTCTCCCAGCCTCCTTGGAAACAGCTGACCCCCAACTTCCAGTCTTAACCAGGGCCCTTAAAATCCATTATAGTAGAGAAAAGTAGAGCCTTAGTCACACCATAGGCAGATGCACAGTGTGAGTGTCAGTAGCCCTTAGCAAATCATTATTGGTAAGACTAGGTTAAATATCAGTGATGAAATATACTTCCAGTGTTGGGATCCATACATTGCCAGTGATAAACTAGGCTTGAGCTTAGTGCTGGTCTCCGATGATACCTAATCAGGAGGCTAGAGCAATTTGGAAGCATCCTGAAGAACCCGCATAGCAGGAGAGAACAGCACTAGGTGTAATATCTATGAGTGGCTGAGGAGGAGAGGAGTGCTAAACTATTATTGAAATAAAGTATTTCCATCATCAAACTGTAATCATTTTTGGAGATTCCATAACCAGCCATCTTCAGTGGGGGACTACCTTCAGGGATGAGGGCCATATAAGAATCTGAGAAAGACTGAGAGCAATAGTACCTCTATTTTTCATGTTTGCTGGAAATATAAAGTCAGTATGTTCAGATTGAGTCCTATAATTAATATGGTCTGACAACAACTGATGATAAGACAGGGCCCTGGTTATATACACTATACAACTTATTCTGCTGTTCTGATTGTATATCAAACAATTTATTTCTGTCTAAGGGTGAGGCTATATTTCATTATTTTTAAAGCTTTAGAACTCAAGATCAAGAAACAATCCAGATCATACAAGCCTGCCTGCTACATATATCAGAAATAATGGATGAACTGTACCATATCTTTTGAAATGAATATCTAATCTTATAGAAAAGCAAAAGAAATCCTCAGGGGCAGGAAAACGGTATAATTGAAATCATGGTAATACTAGCATGAGACAAAATAGGTTTTAATGCTATTGATGTAAAAACACAACTTTCATCTCAAAGAATAAGTGATAATTTATTTAACTATGTATGGCCATGCCCAGAAACCTATTTTACCTCCAATTCTATGTTCTAACATACCAACAGTTTCATAAAGTTTTACAGTGAAAGAAAAAAGAAAGTCATATATCAAAACACAATACATTGGTGGAAACATCGGCTATGAGGGTTATAGCAAAGTGTGGAATTCTCCGTCATAGGCCTCACACACTATTGATGACACTATTAGAATGGATTGATGGAAGCTAGTGGCTTGTTAAAAATACATATAAACTGTTTTTTTTTCATTTTTTTTATTAAAATGTAATTACATCCTGTTTCCCCTTCCCTTTCCTCCCTGCAACCTCTCCCATATATGCCCCCCCTCCCCTGCTCTCTCTCAAATTCATGGCTTCTGTCAAACTTAGGAATGGGCAATGCATGGCTTTTAAAGGGACTGAAAACAGCCCCAAATAATTTGACTTGGACTGAAACATTTGAATTTTCCACAATCATAAAATGAAGTCATTTGTCCTTGTATAATCTTTATCACAGGTGCAGCTCTTTTTCCCCTCCCCCATGGGAACTTCAGTCCACAATACAAAGAACCCTGTTGAGGACTTAAGGATCATTACTAAATGCTAAAAAGAATAATTCACCAGGAAGAAAAAGTAATTTTAGATGTATGTGCATCTAATAGCAAAGCTTTCAAATGAATGCAGAAATTTGCATAAGTGCTAGGCTAAATTGATAGAGGAAGCTTTGTGATATATCTTTTCACATATATAATTTGTTATGGAAATATAAAATGAATGTATGGAAGATTGGACAGCCTAACTAATTAACCTGATGTGTCATGTGAATGTGTATGAATGTATATGTATATTCTATATAGATATGTGCATGTGCAAACACGTTTATGGGACTAAAATCAGTTTTTGAAACATGATTTTTAAAATCAACTCTAAATAATACACATTTTAAGCACACAGGAACATTTATCAAAATAGACCACAATTACTAATCAATGAGAAACATTATATTCTATGATTCTAATGAAATTAAATTCAAAATAAATAGGCACAAGGCCCTAGGTTTGAGCTCCAGTACTGATAAAAAAGTAAAAAGCTAGCTATATTAATGGAGACTAAAAAGGGATATAACTATAAAAAGCTAGCCATACTAACAGAGACTAAAAAGGAATATAACTATAGATTTATCATAAAACTTTAAAAAGTTCACAAGAATTCTGTAACGCTATGCTAAATTTTAACAACAACAACAACAACAATAACTGCTACATGAAAACATTTTGGTTGCTGAGATAAAATACCCTTACTGAAAGAATCACAGAGGAGGAAAGGGTTTATTTGGCTTAAAATTCCAGGTCCTAGCCCATCTTTTCAGGGAAGTGAAGGCAGGAAGTCAAACAGCCAGTCACATCACATTGCAGTCAAGAGCAAGAGAGAATATACACACCCTTGCTTGCGTGTGCTAGTCTTCACATAGCCTTCTCCTGTCTCATATAGCTCAGAGTCCTCTGTCTAGGGAATGGTGCCATCCATAATGGGCTGGACAGCAGCTATGGAAAAAATAAAAACTGAGGTTTTCAACTCCTTTCCTCTTATCTCATATTAAAACTGTACAAAACATATCACAACTATAAAAAAAAAGTGTACAAAACTCCTTTCCTCTTATATTAAAACTGACTGATAATGCAGAGTTTGAGAAATGTCTAAAGAAAGCCTCAGGCAGGCTCAGATGACCGTTTTTGTTATTTTGTGAATATCATTTGGTTATTTATTTTCAGAGTTGTTTCTGGAACCCTAGAAAAACCAGATAGGTGTAATTGATCCTCATGCTCAGAGCTCATACTTACCAATTTTCCTGCTTGCTAAAACTTATTTCCAAAATTAATATGTGCAATCATCATGTGCAAAGGTGGTGAAAAAAAACAGTCAAATGCATGGTTCCAGTTGAGGTGAAACAAGATGACACTCTTCCTTCCTATTTAAGCTTTCAGATCATAACCAAGTGTCCTTCTAGAGATAAACTTACCCATCACGCTTTTCATGTAGGGGTGTGTGTGTGTGTGTGTGTGTGTGTGTGTGTGTGTGTGTGTGTGTGTGTGTGTGTGTGTGTCTTAGAGAGTTTGCTATTGAAAATGGCTCCCAAGCTAGTAGTGAAGTGTTGCCTAGTATTCCTTAAGTGTAAGAAAGCTGTGCGGTACCTTATGGAGAAAATACATGTGTTAAATAAAACTAATTCAAGCATGTGTGATAGTACTGTTGGCATGAATTTAGTGTTAATGAATTGACAACACACAGTAAATGAATTATATTTAAAGAGAAATACTTGTAAAACAAGGTATATATTGATCAGTTCATAGAAATGGTGGCCAAAGCCTGACAGGAACCCAACCCTATATTTCCCCTAGGAGCATTCGTTCAGTATTTGCTAAATCTAGTGTTCACTTACAATATATAGATCCAAAATACTATGAATAATGAGAATCAAGTGGGTTCTCCAACAATTTTCTCCTTTTTTAAATTTTGCTTCTCAAGGGCATCTATCCACTCAATTTGCTGTGAATTACTTAGGGGTATTTATTGAATAATTCGTTTGTTTTTACTCATGTATAATGACACTTCTGTCATATGGTAGGATCCTACATGCATGTGGCTCTCATTTTAGGCTCCTTGTTATCAGCCACTGATCTGTGGAGGTATTTTCTTACAAATGCTTCATGTATTGAATACTATATATTTATAATGTATAATTTTCTTGCTTTCTGGTACCATGAACCCTGCCCTCACCTGGATTCTTCAAATTTTTTTTTGGTCCTTTTGCCCTCTGTACACATATTAGAATCAGCTTGTCAAATTTGTGAAATCAGCTATTGGAGTTTGAGAGGAACTGCATCATTTATAAATTAGCCTTTACTGTACTGACTCTTCCTGCTCATAAACATGACATATTTTCCAGTCATTTTAGAATTTGTTTATCTACTTTAATGAAGAATTTTGTCATTTCTATAATCTTTAAAAGAGATTTATGCTGAGGAGGAGTACCTGAGAGGGTTTGGAAAGAAGAAAGGGAAGGGGAGAAATGATGTAATTATAATCTCAAAAAAAATTATTTCAAGATATACCATGTGAGTTTTTGGTATTGTTATTATTCTATTTTTTTCAATCTTCCCCACTCACAGAGTTCTATTTTTAGGGTTTGATTTATTCTTCTCTATTCTTCTGTTGCTTTATGTGTTTATTATGTGATCTGTGTGTATTTGTGGGGGAGGACCTATTTATGTGTTTGTACTATGTGCAGACACTTGATCAGTCCGAATTGTTCACTTGTGGGCTTTCTCATTTTTCATTGTGAACTCATCATTAGTAGCACTTTGTTGTTATTTCACATGTCTGTATGTCTGGAAGAGTCCATGACATTTGGGATGTGGGCGCTTTTCTTCCATGTCTTTGTTTGACTTGTTCCCAGGGGTATCAGTGCTTAAGGGACTGTTCTTATGTAACTTTTTAGTCTGGAGTCTCTGAATTATGTGGGTAGAGTTTAGCAGTATGAATTGTAGTCCTGTGGTTTTAAATTCTCAGAGAGCTTTTATTATTTTCCCACCCAAAGCCCAGTTGCCCTGTGGTCTCTCTTGTTTTTAAATCTTTTCATAAATAAACTAGTTCTTTGAGGGTCTTGGCTTTATGTGAAGTTCTCAGTTGAATTCTCTACCCCCTAGAGTCCAAAGCCTCATTTCCTGTGCCTGTGTAGGGTATTAAATCCCAACCCCTTAGCTTCTGGAGACAAATACCCCCTGTTATCTCAGGCATTCACTCTTCTGCTTTTTCTTTTTCCCCTTTGTTTCTGGCACCCAGGGGTTGGCGTTTATTATTTGTGAGCCTAGTTGTACATTTAAAATAATCATGAGAGATTTTACTCAGTGTATCTAGGTGATTATAGTAAAAGGATTTTCATGTTGTCCAAGTTGCTATATTACTAGCAATGATAAATAGAGTTTTTGTATTCTTTAGTCTGATAATACACTGTGTTTTTAGTGTTTGTTAATAATCTTTAGACTTCATATTTTATCCAATGATTAAATGTTCATAATATGCAATGCATTTGGATTATATAATGTGTGTCATTTATTGGCCCACAGATTTTAAAACCTTGGTAGGACTTCTGATTTTCTGTAACAATTTTTGCATAAATGGTATCATATTGTATATTTTTTTAAAGCAAGGCCACACCTTTTTTCTTTTCACTTTTCCTTCTCCAGCATTAGCATGGCCCTCATCCATTCTTCCTCACATACAGAAGGCATATTAACTCACTTTAGGACTTTCCATATTTTTATTCTCTGCTTATAAATTATATAGAGCCATTTATATCCTCATATATGTGTGCATTCATATACACTTTAGGACAATCACAGCGTTTTTATTTTGTGTTGCATTGAAAATGGAATTGGGTAATCATCTTTCCATTCTGCTTTTACTATTCTATGGTGCTGAAGGCCCAGGGAGCTGCTGCAGTTCCTGCTCTTTTATCTTTTGAATAGTGATCCAGTTGAATGTGCCCCTCGCACCCCAAGTTAATGTGTTGAAAACTTAATCTCGAAATTCATATGTTAATTATTTCTAGAGAAAGAGCTTCTGGTAAGTAAGGAGATTTAGAAAAGGCCATCAGAGTGAGGGCTCCATGATGGCGGTTAGTGAATGTATAAGAGGAAGAGAGACCTCAGCTGGTACAGGGCTTTCCTGCCATGTGATGTCTCCTGCCGTGTTATACTGTAGTAGGAAGGCCTGCACCAGATGCAAAAAAGACTCCAAGGCTGTACTCTTGAACTTCTCAGCCTTCAAAACCGTGTCCCAAATATACTTCCATTGTTTCTAAATTCCCCAGTTTCAGGAATTTTGTTCTAGGCAACAGAAAATGGACCAAGAGAAATGCGCAAATCATCACTATACTGCTTAATGAATTTCCACATGCAACCAGCACCCAATCAAGAAACAGAATATGGTGCTGTTGTTATGCCCAGATCTTGGGGACCCCCCAAAAGACCACCACAGAGACCAAATTCCATATGTAAAAGCAAAGAGCTTTTATTTTCAAGCTCTGGGGCTTGGTCTCTCTGTCTGTCGGACACAGCAGTGAGTGCAGAGAGCCCTGAGCTCAGGCAAGGTAGAGTTTTTATCATAGCAGAGGTTGGGGTGAAGGAATTTCCAGAGTTGAGGACCTGATTGGCTGACATTTGTCTAGGGGTATCTGTAAAACAAAAATAGGTGTGTGCTAAACTCAGGAACATTTGGCCACCTTATCTCATGGTTGGAATGTTTGGGATGTCAGGTACTTTCCCTTAGATGTAGGCCCTCCCTGGGTGGGGTCAGCTTATGGCTTTTCCTGGATCTGGGTGTTGCCTGCCAGTAAGCCTGTCACGGAAGCTGTGTCTAGGCCTCTAAGCCTGTCATGGCAGCTGTGTGGTCAAGCTGTTTGGGGGCCCCTCTACACTGTCGAGATGGCTAAGAGAATAAGGGCACTTGCCACCAAGCCTGGTGACCTGACTTTGATCCCTGGAACCTGCATGGTGGCAGGAGAGACCTTACTCTCCAAATTGTTCTCTGACTTCCACATGTACACGGCATGTGTGCACTCACACACATGCACAAACATGTATACAATAAATAAATATGAAAATGATTTTAAAACAAAGTAGAATATTACCAGTTTCCCAGCCTCTCCCACCTATGCCTCCTCCTGAGGGTACTCATCATCTTGACTTTAACAACATAAATTTCTTTAGCCTTTTTTTTTGGGATTCTATAGAAAATAAACCATTCAGTAGTATTGTAAGAATTCTGTCCTTAATTACATCACCAGCCTGCGACAGCGTCCCAGCCTAAAAAGCGAGCGGGCCCTCTGTGCGTCCCCCTTCTCTTTCTGCTCTCTTTTCCTTCCGTCTGTTTTCTCTCTCTCTCTCTCTCTCTCTCTCTCTCTCTCTCTCTCTCTCTCTCTCTCTCTCTCTCTTTCCCTCCCTCTCTCCCTGCCCAATAAAGCTCTAAAAAGGTAACCATGGCTTGTGATTCTTCCGATCAGCACTCTCCTCCACTGGCATGGCCGCCGTGGGAGGCGGCTAGCCACAAGCACCAGTGCATAACCAACAAGTATTCTATAATATAACATCATTATGTATAGCATTCATAATGCACTTGCATTTAGTTATTCATTCTAATGGCTGTATAATACCTCATCATATGGGTATATCAGAATATATTTATCTATCTACTGGTTGACCTTGGAGCATATGGACAGTGCTGCCATGAACACTTTGTTCATTAATTTATACTTTTTAACAACTGTAAAATATTCTGTGTTGTGAAGGACTACCTTTAATTCAGTCACTCTGCTTTGATTAATGGGCTGCTTGTATATTGATGATAAACTTGGCAGGATCTAGAATTACCTTGGAGACAAATCTCTGGACATGTCTGTGAAGAATCATCTATACTAGGTTAATTGGGTTAGAAAAACTCGAGTTAACTCTGGGCAGCACCATTCCCTGGGCTGGTGTCCTGGACTGCATTAAAAGGAGAAGGCTGGGCATAACAAGCATCCATCACGCTCTGCTTCCCAACTGTGGATGCAGTGTGATCAGCTAGTTACCGTATGTTCTGATCCTGTGGCTTCCTTGCCATGATGAACTGTATCCTCCATCTGTGAGTCAAAATAACCCATTCTTTCCTAAAGTGGATTTTGTCAGGTATTTTATCACAGCAGAGAGAAAGGTAGCTTATACAGGAACTTGGAACAGAGAGCAGGGTCATTGCTATGGTAATTCTGACCATGTAGTGCTTACACTATTGGAACTGGGTTACAGGATGGCTGTGTAAGAATTTGGAACTTTGAGCAGAGATCAATGGTTCATTCTGGCAGGAGTCTAAAAGAGAAGAATGCTGAAAGAAACACCAACACTGAAGGCCCAGCTCATGAGGTTTTAGGGGGAAAGACAGACTTTCTCAGGAAAAAATGGAGAGAGTAGAGAGAGGACAAACATACACACACACACACACACACACACACACACACACACACACACACACACACGAGAGAGAGAGAGAGAGAGAGACAGACAGACAGACAGAGACAGAAAGAGACAGACAGAGACAGAAAGAGACAGACAGAGAGATGAAATTCTGTGAGGAAAGGGGTATAAGCAAGTTTAAAGTTGGGGACAGTAGGAAAGGTGTCCTGAAGGCAAGATCCCAGACACTGAAGGCTGTGGGATATGAGAATGTAAATCCATTTGAGACAGTTCGAACTGAAAATGATGCTGAAGTGGTTCTTTGCTCCAAAATAACTGCAGATTCAGATAGAAAACAGGGTAACTGTGGTCTAAGGGGACTAGGCTGCATCTCAACCTGGCAGCAGAACTTGGCATCATCACCCACGTGGTGGTTTTATGGGTATGAAGGATGCAAGGATGATGGGGCTTCTGGAAGTTTGTGCTAAAGTTCAAGAAGGCTGCTGAGGCTAGAGAATGCCCAACATGGTCAGATTTTCTGTAAGAAGGCCCTGAAAGCCCATTGCATAAAGCTGTAAAGGTAAAGCAGGAATTGAAATGCAGAGTCCAGAATGTTGGAGATGCCAGGGTCATGGGCCATCTGCCAAGGAAAACCTCAGCTGTGGAGTAGAGCCAACCCATGAGACAGGCTATATATGCTACAGGCAGCAGAGCTGGAGAGGAGGAGCTAGCTACTCAATCCTTTTGGAGCCCTATTTCATTAGCATCCAGATGCTTAACATGAATCTGTAGGATTTGGTATTTTCCCATCTCAGTTTCTATCTTGTTTTGGGTTTGATCTTTCCGAAACACTATGTCCACAGTTCCTCCCTTGTGGAATGGGGATGTTTCCTTTGTGCCATTGTATTCTAGGAATATGTAAAAGGAGTTCACAGTTAAAAGACTGCCTTAGTCTTTGTAGCCATATGTTTCTCGGTTGCCATAGGCCAAAGCAACCTATTTATTAGCCAATGGGAACAACATATTCACAACATACAGAAAGACATCCCCCAGCAAAGTCTCAGAAGAGATTCTGCAGTTGCACTCTTGAATAGTGTTGGAACTGCTCAAGACTATGGTAATTTTGAAGTTAAACTGAATGTATTTTGCATTATGAGGTGGCCATGAGCCTATTGAGACATGAAGTAGAAAGTGATGTCTGAAAAGTGATATGTTTGGGGTATCAAGTTGGCAAGGGATGAACTTGTGATAGTTTGTATTGACTGTCAACTTGAAAGCACCAAGAATCATCTTGGAGACAACTCTCTGGATACATCTATAAGGGATTATTTACATTATGTTAATTGGAGTGGGAAGACCTACCCTCCCTAACCATGGGTGGCACTATTCCCTAGAATTGGGTCCTTGACTGCATAAAAAGAAGGCTGAGCATAAGCACTCATCACTTTCTGCTTCCTAAATGTAGATGTGGTGTTACCAGTCAACTTTATGTTCCTGTCTCCTTAACTTCCTTGCCATGATACACTCTACCCTCAAACTGTGAGTCAAAATGAACTTAGGTTGATTTTGTCGGGTATTTTATCACAGCAATGAGAAAATTGATTAAATAAATTACTAATTTTATTTCCTGTTCTTGACCACTAAGGTAAACATTCCGTAAGTATTATGTAT